TGTTTTGAATTCCAACCAGTAGTTTTCAAGTTATGCCCCGGACACAGAAAAGTAACAAAGGGCAGTAACTCTGTAATAAGTCAAGATGGAGTTATGGTTCTTGTGCACTGCACTTCCTCTCAATGTGCTTGATCATTGTATTAAGTTATAATGAATTCCAACAATTAGTCTTCAAGTTATGGTCCGGACAAAAGAAAGCAATGGAAAAGAACCAAAGGGCAATAACTCTGAAATTACTTTAGATAGAGTTATGGTTCTTGTGCACTGCACTTCCCCCTATTGTGTTTGACAATTGTATGAAGTTGTTTTGAATTCCATCCAGTAGTTTTCAAGTTAAGCCCCGGAAAATAACAAGAAACAAAGGGCAATAACTCTGTAATTAGTCAAGATAGAGTTATGGTTCTTGTGCACTGCACTTTCTCTGAATTTGCTTGACCATTGTATGTAGTTATCTTGAATTCCAACCATTAGTCTTCAAGTTATGGTCCGGACAAAAGAAAGCAATGGAAAAGTAACAAAGGGCAATAACTCTTTAATTACTTTAGATAGAGTTATGGTTCTTGTGCACTGCACTTCCCCTTATTGTGTTTGACAATTGTATGAAGTTGTTTTGAATTCCAACCAGTAGTTTTCAAGTTATGCCCCGGACACAGAAAAGTAACAAAGGGCAATAACTCTGTAATAAGTCAAGATGGAGTTATGGTTCTTGTGCACTGCACTTCCTCTCAATGTGCTTGACCATTTTATAAAGTTATAATGAATTCTAACAATTAGTCTTCAAGTTATGATCCGGACAAAAGAAAGCAATGGATAAGTAACAAAGGGCAATAACTCTGTAATTACTTTAGATAGAGTTATGGTTCTTGTGCACTGCACTTCCTCTCAATGTGCTTGACCATTGTATGTAGTTATATTGAATTCCAACCATTAGTCTTCAAGTTATGGTCCGGACAAAAGAAAGCAATGGAAAAGTAACAAAGGGCAATAACTCTGTAATTATTTTAGATAGAGTTATGGTTCTTGTGCACTGCACTTCCCCTTATTGTGTTTGACAATTGTATGAAGTTGTTTTGAATTCCAATCAGTAGTTTTCAAGTTATGCCCTGGACAAGGAAAAGTAACAAAGGGCAATAACTCTGTAATTAGTCAAGATAGAGTTATGGTTCTTGTGCACTGCACTTCCTCTCAATGTGCTTGACCATTGTGTGTAGTTATATTGAATTCCAACCATTAGTCTTTAAGTTATGCTCCGGACAAGGAAAATGCAACGGACGTCTGGACCGACCGACCGACCGACCAACCGCCCGACCGACCAACCGACCGACCGACCAACCACCAGGTGACTCCTATATACCCCCCCAAACTTCATTTTTGGGGGTATAATAATGTAATAATGTGTTTGGCACTCAAGGTAATGATAAACAAAACTTAAACCAAAACTGAAATCTATTTAGAGTCAAATTATATTTATACTATACTATATAATATTATATACTATTTATACTCAGATAAATTAAATCAACACTAACGTGAGCAGTTTCCTTCTACATCCAGGTACATATCAACTGGGCAGAGACATCTGTAGCCATAGTGATTGTTGCTAGGCACACAAAGGTGACTGCATGAAGAATTGTCACATGGATTTGCTGAAATTAAACATTTTAACATTGTTGAGATCAGTCACTAGTTTCTAAGACGACCTGGTTCTTACGAGGATTCAAACGTTGATAAGGGTTCATTGATCAATTGTAGTTTATAAGGTCTAAATTGTTGCTATTGAGAACTAAATAGCTGCTAAAAAAACAGGACTGAACTTTTGCAAAGAGACACTCCATTGTTGCATGCCAAGATTAGGACTGAATTGTTGCCAAGGTGACGGCTCAATTGTTGATTAGCAAAGATATCTTAAGAAGATCTACAAGACGTAATTCATTCAATAATATCATAACATTAACCCTTAGCACCCTATATATCTTAAATGGACTTGTCCATCATTCAATTTGGACAAAATCATTCACCATTTAAATTGTGTAGGGATTATTCCAAAACATTTAAGGAGTGAATATAGAACAACAGTAGATCCTGATCAAAAGACACTGATGTGCTGTCTGATCTTGGTACGCACTCAATTATTTTCATTAACTTATTTTCTCTATCTGCTCTTATACTAAATCTTCAAAAGGCATACTTAAAACAAACCTTGTGATGTTAAACTCCTATATAAAACAGGGTGGTATATTGAGGCTCTGAGAGCACTTCCTGTAGCCAGTGATTTTTCTATAACACCTGTAAACTTGTTTATTATCAAAGTGCTGTTGGACATGGTCCAATACAAATGATCCGTCAGTAAAGATAATGTTGGGGCAGCATGACCATCACTCTCTACACTATATATCTGAAAAAACAAATGTTATTTTATATATGATAATATCTTTTCATTATTATGTGTTTCTTTTGATGGGTTTTACATTGAACTCACACAGAAGAGATCTTCATAACGGTCACTTTCTAGCATAACTGTAGAGGAAGACCTGAAAGAGCATCGAAGTAGAACCATTGAAGTTCAGTTACCTAGCCAAATAGCTTCTTCACATGAAAAGATTATCCAAAGTCCCCATCGGGGAATTGAACAAACAGCAGTGAGAGACAAGTGGTTTGAAGTCATGAATCTAGGTTATTTAATTTTTTAGCTACACACAACAATTTGAAAATTGCAAAATTGTACTTAATCAAGGGCAATAACTCTGATAAAACCAAAATGATCCATTATGCGAAACCCAATTCTTAGGTGCACAACACCACATGCTGATCAGACTTTCCTGACATCTTTTTAAACCTTTAAATGGAAGAATTCTTTTAAATTCACAACAAATGTTAAATTTCACTGCACAAATTCAGCATGTTAAGTTAGGGCATTTATATTACAAGGTAAAGAATTTATATCAAAAATTTTATTTTACAAACATAATAAAATCATAACTTTCAGAACATACCTGTCTGTAACCGGTGTGAAGATTGATGGACTGTATAATATATACACCATGAAGTCTTGCCAACCAATGCAGAACATTACTGGTACCATCTAATACCAGATCCTGTGGCTTGGCAAGGTTATTTATCATCATTTTTAACGTAGAGCCATCAAGATTTGAAGACACAATGGAGCCATCACTGCCATTTGCACCCCATTCAGACCACAGTAATTTCCTGTAATACAGATACATTATGGTATAATCTGTGTCAATATGATCTTTTATAACTACATAATTGAGGCGTGTCACAACAAAACCAATGTAATGTGTTTGCGACCAGCATGGATCCAGACCAGCAAGCGCCTCCGTGCAGTCTGATCAGGATCCATGCTGTTCCCTTACAAACCCTATTACAAGTAGAGAAACTGACAGCGAACAGCATGGATCCTGATCAGACTGCGCTGAGGCGCAGGCTGGTCTGGATCCATGCTGGTCGCAAACCCACTATGTTGGTTTTGTCGTGGCACGGCTCATATGTCATTATTGTCTGTGTTACACAACCATGAGAGTGTTTCAATAAACTTGTAACTTCAATCAAACTATAATACATTCATTTAAACTAAACTACAAGTATTTAAAGGACAGAAAATTACTAGTATATCAGAATTCTGTGCATGTACCTAGACAATTTATAAGCCTTATAAACGAAATAAAGTGTAAAACAAGAATGTCGAACGACACATATACCCCCCTTTCTAGCCATTGACTCACATAATTGGTAATTTTATTACAAAAAATTGCCAAAAAAGGGTACATGGAAGTGTTCAATCATGGAAAAATCACGAAAACCATTTTAACATTTAAGGCCCATGTGACATTGACCTTTGACCTATGACCCCTAAATCAACAGAGGTCATCTACTACTTATGACCAATAACTAGGTGAAATATGAAGACTTTGTGATGAATACTTTTCAAGATAATCAGCGGAAACCCTTTTGACATTTAAGGCCCCTGTGACCTTGACCTTTGGCCCAAAAATCAATAGGGGTCATCTACTAGTGATGACCAATCACTATGTGAAATATGAAGACTTTGTGATACATACTTTTCAAGATAATCAGCGGAGACCATTTTGACATTTAAAGTCCTGTGACCTTGACCTTTGACCTAGTGACCCCAAAATCAATAGGGGTCATCTACTAGTTATGACCAATCACTGTGTGAAATATGAAGACTTTGTGATAAATACTTTTCAAGATAATCAGCGGAAACCATTTTGACATTTAAGGTCCCTGTGACCTTGACCTTTGACCTAGTGACCCCAAAATCAATAGGGGTCATCTACTAGTTATGACCAATCACTATGTGAAATATGAAGACTTTGTGATACATACTTTTCAAGATAATCAGCGGAAACCATTTTGACATTTAAGGCCCCTGTGACCTTGACCTTTGACCTAGTGACCCCAAAATCAATAGGGGTCATCTACTAGTTATGACCAATCACTATGTGAAATATGAAGACTTTGTGATAAATACTTTTCAAGATAATCAGCGGAAACCATTTTGACATTTAAGGTCCCTGTGACCTTGAACTTTAATCTAGTGACCCCAAAATCAATAGGGGTCATCTACTAGTGATGTCCAATCACTTTGTGAAATATGAAGACTTTGTGATACATATTTTTCTAGATTATCAGCAGAAACCATTTTGACATTTAAGGCCCCTGTGACCTTGACCTTTGACCTAGTGACCCCAAAATCAATAGGGGTCATCTACTAGTGATGGCCAATCACTATGTGAAATATGAAGACTTTGTGATAATTACTTTTCAAGATAATCAGCGGAAACCATGTGGTCTACCAACGGACCGACATTAGCAAAACAATATACCCCCTCTTCTTCGAAGGGGGGCATAATAAAACATTTTAGGATGATTCTTAATAACCGTTATCAATATTAAAGTAATAATAATACTTTTTTCTTACACCAATTATTGACTCTGTTATCTAAATTATCATAATATTCAGTCCATAACTTTATCATTATTTTATTTCTATTTTATATAATATATACTCCTGAAGGGAGTCATCATTCACAATTGAGAAAAATATATCTATCCTGATTCCAGGATGGAGAGTGAACTGGGCTAAATGAAAACTGTGAAAAGCCTAAAAAGAATATCACTCTGATAAATAGAATTGCTTATTAACTGATGCATATATCATGCAACAGTGAAAGACCAGGCAAATTAAGTCAATGCAAGGTAAAACAATATTGAAGACAAACTTACCTTGAGTTTACGTTCACCAGAACCGAGTATGGGCGTTCCAGATTTGTTACAAGAATTGAGCAGTTATCTCCCTTCCATGAACACACGATAATTTGACCAGCGTCTTTGTCAACCAGATATATATTAGACGTGACCCAGTCAACTGCCACACCAGTTACATGCCTCAGACCTGAAATGATAAGCGTGCCTTCAATGAACATTCTCATAAATGCCTAAAGATACATAACAATTTTCATAAAAATTCTAAAATGTACGATTAAAAAGTAAAATAATTTTGTCAAGTAACAAAGAATTAAATAATTTACACTTTTGTAAAAAGCACTTTAAATCTTTGAAAATAACCAAAAAAGGTCAAAATATGCAAAAACAGTCCTCATAATTAGTCGAAATATTGTGATAAATACTGCAAAATCAGACATTATATAATTGCATATTATAATTATGTTAGGTATTATGGAAATCTGAATACGTTTAATTTTCTGAAATTCTTTGCACATTTTCTCAAGGCTGATTTTCTTGAAAATTGTTTGCTCATCTGGAGGCATGCAGCTTTAAAATATTTCACAAGTTGTAATTATCATCTAATTTCATATAATCCTTGACCTATTTAACTTCTTAAATGGATATGACCAACATTTGTTTTTGGAAGAGTCAACATTATCGATTTCGTAATCCCTATTTTTGCATATTTCCATTATCATCTATTACCCTGCATCAGGAAAAGAATTTATATCACAAACAATTTTGCAAAGCTTTTAAACAACTGTTCGAGTAGGTATTCACAAAGAGGACATTTAGTTTTAATACATTTTACGCATTTTGCAGTCTCTATATATTCTAAAATATGCAATAACTGATAAAATTGGCTTTATTTTTCAGAAAACATCACACATAAATTTAAAATTAATTATTATTCTCATGGACATAACTAATAAAAACTAATTTTTCCAGAAGTGACAGACTGAAAAAAAACCATTCAAACAGGATTTCTTAATCAGAAGATGCCCGCAGACAGACAAATGACAAAGGGACACAATGTCAAGAACAATTGTTATGGTGAAATTTAATAAAATATAGTCTTCAATTCTCCATATCAATATTTTGATTCAATAATTAAGACAGTTGAGACTCCTTTAGCAGGTTTATTCACATTGCTTAAAAGTATCTTAAGCTTGTTAACATATATCAAAATATTAATAACAACAACAAACAAACAACATAGAAACCTTAATTTGAAAACTTTAAAATTGAAAAATACCTGTATCTATTAACATTTCGGGTTCTTCCTTTTGGTTTTTAACATCTAATTTTGTTTTATATACAGCTTTGCCATGTCTAGATACAATCAACATTATGTCATCTGGACCAAAACCTGCAGCAAGAAAATTTTACAACAGGTTAATATATAGTTAAAAAGTTACCTTATCATTTATAATATACATTGTAAAACTAACTTAAAGGCCCATTATGCCACAGAATTCTTTTTATGTTTGGTGTCCTGTTAATTAAGGTCTCAAAACAACAACTAATTGGCCAGTTACCTGAACCATCTTTTGCCTCTGTTAACTTTGACGATAAATACAATTACAATAATTTATTGTTTTTGTGTAAAAGTTAAAATACTTCTTTATTTAGTGTCATTTTGCTAATTCATTACAGACTATTTCTCACTCAGCGCTACTTTTCTAAAGTAATAAACCTTTTACCTGCTCTAAATGATTTTTTTAATGTTTCTAAAGAAGGGAAAAAACTATTCATTTCTGAGGCATAAATGTTGCCTTAATAAAAATACTTTTTCTACTACAGAATTGCCTTATTTTTACATAGACAAAGACAAAAAGAAAACAAAACCAGTGCTTAAATATCATTATTATAGAAACATATGATTAAAAAATAAATTTCTGGGGACAGTGTGCAACCAATCCTACTTTTGGAGTTACCTGGCCCTGAAATTGAGTTGTTCTTAACTTTTATCACTAAAATATGTTAAGAACAATGCTAAGATAATATAACTATCCTATTGATGTATATGACTACATGACAATAACACTTTCCTAATAATATGGAACTTTAATAAGACTACTTGACAACATCACTATCCTAGTGGTTTGACATGACTTTCTGACAACATCACTATCCTAGTGGTTTGACATGACTTTCTGACAACATCACTATCCTAGTGGTTTGACATGACAACCTGACAACATCACTATCCTAGTGGTTTGACATGACTTTCTGACAACATCACTACCCTAGTGGCTTGACATGACCTTCTGACAACATCACTACCCTAGTGGTTTGACATGACTTTCTGACACCATCACTATCCTAGTGGTTTGACATGACAACCTTACAACATCACTATCCTAGTGGTTTGACATGACTTTCTGACAACATCACTTCCCTAGTGGTTTGACATGACTTTCTGACACCATCACTATCCTAGTAGTTTGACATGACTTTCTGACAACATCACTATCCTAGTGGTTTGACATGACTACCTGACAATATCACTATCCTAGTGATTTGACATGGCTTTCTGACAACATCACTATCCTAGTGGTTTGACATGACCTTCTGACAACATCACTATCCTAGTGGTTTGCCATGACTTTCTGACAATATCACTTACCTAGTGATGTGACATGACTTTCTGACAATATCACTATCATTAGTGGTTTGACATGACTTTCTGACAACATCACTATCCTAGTGGTTTGACATGACTACCTGACAACATCACTTACCTAGTGCCGTAACATAACTTTCTGACAATATCACTTACCTAGTGCTGTTACATGACTATCTGGAAGATTTGTCAATGTGTCAATATCCTCTGTTTCAGTATAGTACACATCAACTGTCTTGCTGGTCACCAAAATTATCACTGGTTCATTTCCTATCCAACAAAAATGAATCAACATAATTTCTCATAAAGAAAGGCACATATTATCATGCTTATAACTAATATAAGTGTTCAACATCATTTGCCGACCAATGAAATTGCTCTAATTTAAAAAAAAAATGCCATTCTTATTGTATTGACAGGAACATTTTGTCACTAAAAATAACTATTCATTAAGTCGAACACTTTATAGTTTGGATAAAAGTGATCATGACTGTAAACTGAAAGTAGTTAAAACCCTGTCTCATAAAATGATGTGACATTGGTAAAATACTAAGGAAGATTAGTAGACCAGCGCTCCTTCATACAATGAAAGTGGTATTCGATTTTGATGGCAGTATTGTTTTGCTCGTAACTTCATTGAGAAAATATATTAAGACAAACACAAACTTTCTATAGACTGGATCCAGCAGGGTCAAATGAGGTTAAACACTAAGAAGTTAGTTTTTGTTAAGAGAACATTTTAATGATTAAAGACTCCACAGGAAGTGGTCGCTTCCTGCCAGGCAGTTCCTAATTGTTAAAATATCACTTAATTAATACACACTTACAGAATAATACACATCTATATATGTATGTCTATACATCTCATTAAGAGTATGACTCCACTGCAATAGCTTCTGTTTTACTTCATGCATCATTTTGTAGTATCATTTTGTGGGGGTTTTTTTCTTTTTTTCTTTTTTTTTTCAGTAAAAAATTGTCCAGTATTAAAGCAAATAATTATGGTTCACCTGTGAATTATTTCAATGTTAGTATTCAACCAAATAAATTAAAATCCCTTAAATACATGTATTAATAATGAATGGCACATTTACCCTCAGGTACAAACACATTTGTATTCATTCTGTAAAAGGAACTTGCGTGTTTTAAAATAGATGCTTATAAGCACCTGAAGTAAAGCAGCGATATTTGAAGAATGTTAGGAAAGGGTTAGGGTCAGGTCATACAGGGTAAAAAATGTGTGGTGTGATGCCAAAATTGGATTTTGTTTTAAATTATTACCATATCATATTTGTAGTTTTATTTAACTTCACAAAATTTGATCAAATGTCTCTTAACTGCTGTTTTCATTTTAATAATTTCCAAAATGTTTGTTAACAATTGTTAAATCAGGGAGCATTCTATAATCTTTATCAAGTACTTTTTGGGGATTCATCGCTTGAAACAAGTGTGACATTAATTGTCACAAAATATGCATCACAAAAGTTTTAGGTGGAGATATGTGGGCAAGCAATTAGTTGGTCCCTGACGTGAGTATACATATTTTTATCTACAATTTTACCTCTATGTGTGACCTTGCAGGGACGCGACATTCTGCCTCACAATGATGAAAAAACATATTAAACTCCATCAATGCACATAGAAGTAATGCTCCAGACAGGTGTCAAGAGATCTATTAGTGTGACCTTTTACCTAGAGTAGCTGGTTCATGTGCAGGGCACTTAAGGGCTGAGGCAAGTATCTGAGTACTCACAAATTTTTTTAAATAAACATGTTTTTATAACTGATGTACATGTTTTTATGGGTGTCTTGATAACAAAAGATTTGTGGTTTGATTTGGGAATCATATGTGCTGACTCGTGGTTCGAATCGGATCGTCACTTATCCGACGATCCACACCCCTACAGGGCACTATATTTCATGGTGCAAAAATTCTATAAAGTAATATTAAAATTCCTCTAATGCATGTAGGAGATAATTATGCTCTGGAAAATATCTGGAACTTTAATCAGCTTTAGTGACCTTGACATTGCAAATATTGTGTCAATAATAAATACATGTATCACAACTATAGTCACAATATTTTCATTACAATTTGTGTTACAAGATAACTAAATGGTTCCTATACACATTCTCTATGAATTTAAAAGTTTTGCTTAGGACAAATCGATGGCTCAGTGCAAAACTCAGCTAACACCATTTTTTGAAATTTTACAGGAGGGTGAAAAAACTGTCTAATTTTTTTCCCTACATGTATCTTTTAAATATTCTTATATTTTTTAATCATGCTAAAGGTCTTGAAACTTATATGATAAGTCATTTTCTAGTGGAATTAATTCTTAATGGTTTAAATGCAATTTTTTGAGTTAGCATGGGTTTTGCACTAAAAATCAAAGACTTTCCTAAAAACAAGTTAGCGCAAAACTAGGCTAAATCAACTTGGATGAGTTTTGCACTTGCAAATGAATGATTTGTTGAAACTAAAGTTGTAAAATATGTGCTAAGTCAAGTTAACATAATTTACAAATCTATTTGAATTATATAATAAGAGGAAAAAATTACATACAATGAACATTCTGAAACAATTTAAATAATTTAATTGTCAAAATTGATACTTCTATTTCTCTATTTAATAGTTATTTAACAATGCAACTTAAATATGACAATATTTGTAACTTAGACTGATCATTACGTATTATACACTTGTAGTGTTATAAAATGGGAAAGATGGGAATAAGGGATTATACCTGAAGTGAACATATAAATAAGACCTTTGAACACTTCATATGTAATGTTTGAGTAATTTTTGCACAAGCCATCAGAGGGCAATTTGAACTAAATCTTTGTGGTTCATTTTCTTCACATCAAATGTTTTTTTGTTTTTGTTTTTTAAAGTAAGCTGCTCTGTCTGAGAGAGCCTGTTTTATAAATTATACTTAACAAATATATTTGAGAAATTAACTGATTCAATACTGGCATGCGCCACAAACTGTTTCTCATTTTTAGTACATGTGTATCTAACGTTTCTGTTCCTCTAACAATAAAACAAATTTTTGATAGCATACCACTTTATAGAAACATTGTTCCAATTTTATTAAGCTTGGAAGTTATTATTATAGAATACAAATTGTTAATTTCCCCCTTTTAAATGTTTCATCTTAAATATCAAAAGCTTGAATTGAAATTTCACTATATCCAACTCTTTAAGTGACTTATTCTTTGGGATGCAAAAAAACTTGTTGTTATGTACAGCATTGCAATAGATTGATTGCTATGAAAAAAATGTTATAAAAAGTGTAAAGTAATAGCTATGAACAGATGTTTTTAATGTTTAAAGCTCTGCACCTTAATCATGTTTGAAATGTTTAGATAATTATTTAACATTAAAAGTTAAAACTTCATCAAAAAATGAAAATATTTGGACTCATGACCTGGCTTATGTGATATTCACTGGTAGGAGTACGTAGATAAGGCAGGTCAAAAGACTTACTTTTATATACTGTAAATTTAAAACGAGAACCTATTTATTTTAAAATTCTACATTTGGTAAATTTAAACAAATAAGAATTATTAGACTTATGCCAATCATGTTAGATAATTCCAGAGAACAAGTGTGTGAAGTTTCAATCCATTCCCTTCAGTAGTTATGGAGATATCAGCTTACACCAAAACATTTCTAAGTCAAAAAATGGGGAATAATTATGCAAAAAAGCAAATCAGAGTTATGGGACTTAATGTGTCAATCATGTTAGATAATTACAGAGAACAAGTGTGTAAAGTTTCAATCCATTCCCTTCAGTAGTTATAGAGATACCAGCTTACACCAAGAATTTCTAAGTAAAGAAAAGAGGCATAATTATGCGAAAAAGCAAATCAGAGTTATGGGACTTGTGCCAATCATGTTAGATAATCACAAAGAACAAGTGTGTGGGGTTTCAATCAATTCCCTTCTGTAGTTATGGAGATATCAGCTTACACCAAGAGTTTCTAAGTAGAAAAAAGAGGCATAATTATGCAAAAAAGCAAATCAGAGTTATGGGACTTGTGCCAATTAATCATGTTAGATAATCACAAAGAATAAGTGTGTGGGGTTTCAATCCATTCCCTTCAGTAGTTATTGAGATACTTGCTTACAAGCAAAAACTTAACCAAGAAGTTGAAAAAGGGGCATTATTATGCTAAAAAAGTAATCAGAGTTATGGGACTTGTGCCAATCATGTTAGATAATCACAGAGAACAAGTGTGTAAAGTTTCAATCCACTTCCTTCAGTAGTTTATATGGAGATACTTGCTTTCACGCAAAAACTTTACCACTGGGACGCTGACGCGCCAAATGGGTGAATGCATTAGCTCGATTATTCTGCGAATAGTCGAGCTAAAAATTGTAGAACAAAAAAGCATTTTTAAAGGTTTTAAGCATAAATTAAAGGAGTTATTAGAATTTTGATTAATAATTAGGTTTGAATCATGAGCCAGTGATCATAGAGGTTTACAACATATACCGGAACCTTATTAATATCAAGGTCTGGATATTAATCTGTGTAAAAGTAACAGCCCTACTATTGATAAATTAAATTCATCAGTTTGTAGTTTTATAAACTCTGATTTTAGCATGCTCTGTAAAACAATAGTATAGGAAATAAACCATTTACAATTTTCAATATCAACAAATTCCATTTACAATTTTCAATATCAACAAATTCCCACATCATTCTTAAGTTCAAATATTGAATACTATTATGTTAATAATGAGAATCACAGCTTTCACATGTGTAGAATTGTTATTTAATTTCGTGTTTAACTTATCTTTCATTTAATCTGGACTGGCAGGCCCGTCCTCATGACTTTGTGATTGTATGGCCAATTTGGTGGTTCTTAAGGGGCTACTCCCCCAGAAAATTTTATATTCTGAAATGCTCTTAGGAGCGTTTCCCCGTGTATTTAACACAGTTTAAGTCTGCCACTAGTACATATAATTTTGGCATATGTCACTGATTTTTTACAAAGATTTGTGCAAAAATAAAAGGTTGACTACCAATCGCATAACGGATGGACAGTTGTACATAAAATATGAATAATTAATATTTTGGCAAATGAAAAATAAACAATAATTGATGTTGTTATAATTCTTCATTTTTTTCTGATTATCATAAATAAACAAATACAAGAATATTACATATAAGAGCAGTAGTACACAGATTGTGTTCACAATGGTTTAAGCTTAATAATCAATTGATTAGAGTCTCATTTTATGTGAATTTTCAAAAAACATATGGCCGTCGTTCGTTTTGGAAACAAAAATTATTTTGGTTGATTTGGTTTCTATGGAGCTGTGTCACACGTCATGATATCTTACTATTTTAAACTTTTTTCCGACAGCCCTGACTTGGTATTGCAAAGAAAAATCATATTGTTTTATATTGCAATATTAACAGACTATGAACTATGTTAAAGGGTAAGGTCTACATAACCTTAACTTCATAGTTTAATTGTTTATATTATGTCCTTCTAATTATCTATTTTTGAGAGTTATTTTAGATTTTGCACTTTGTTAAAAGTAATATTGTTTGTAAATTTCAACAACTTTATGCAGTATCATTCAAAGTCAAGCTATATACAAGTAGAGAACACTTCCTATTCTTTTTATTTAGAAGGGTATATAAAAAATAACCACATGAAAGCTAAATCAATAATTTTCGAGGGGCTACTGCCAATTATGAATATTATTTTCATTCAGTGCATCTAAAATTAAGTCCTCATCTGCTTTATTATAAAATCTAAAAATAGCTTCTAATTATGCCTTTGTAAATCTGGTTCTGAATAAGACACAAATCTAGATTTTAAATTTTCCAAAACTTTGTTCAGGGTTAGGGTCTGTCAAAGAATGCACAGGATAAACTAAATTCTTATCTATGCCTTGTAACAAAACAATACTTCTTTTTATCTATGACACTGTTTGACTAAAACTTCTTTACAAATGATGCGATGTCAAGTCATAATAGCAAAAATTGTAGACTTCTTGCAATAAAATAATGTCACACTAATGTATGGCCACACTGAATTAAGGCTTCAAAACTATTGCAAGTTTAAAATATGGGTCATCTAAACTATTGCAAGTTTAACACAGGGTGGTACAAATGTAATTTTAAATTAATATTCTTATATTCTATGTTATAAAAGAACTACATGCTATAGCTTCATAATATTACTTAGTGCGTTACACTTAGGCTTAGTCAAGTTAGACTAGTTTTGCACTGGCAAATTTTTGTGGGTTGAAAAAAAAAATGGTGCAAAACTCATACTAACTTGACTTAACCTAGTTTTGCAGTAACTAATTTGATCAATTTGACTTAGCATGTTTGCTTGAAATTTAAATATAATTACTAATACAGGGAATATGTTCAAAATATTTTCAGAGATCAAGGGATGTTTGATTAACTTTCAGAATTTATGGAAAAGTCATTTTAGGTGAAATATGGACTTAGCTGAGTTTTGCGCTGAGCCATCGAAATGTTTTTCAGTTAGCTCTAAGTCAATCTTTGATAATGTATTACAAATATTTATATTTGATATCAGAAAAGGAAAATAAAGTCCATTTCTAGGGCTGTGCATTGCCATTTTTTTCTGTCACGATACATATCACGATATTTGTTTTTCAAAACGATGCGATTCACGATATGTATTGCATACTTTGAAGAAATGCGATGCATATTGCGATTCTTATGTTGCGATACGATACGTATCACGATACTGACTTTCAGACTTAGTATATAAAAATTTGGCCATTTGTTTACAGCATAATTATACGAATATAATATAAAACTATTACAATAACAAAAAAAAACTCTTTAACTTGTTGTTATAACTTGGTTTCCGATTTTGATCTTTCAACAATTTACTTTTCTGATTACTTGAGGATTAAAGGTATTTTTAATTATACCATAACAGCAAATTGATATCTACTAGCTATTCTAACACTAAAATCCACTACTGTAAATATGGCAGTTTAACAATTTCAGACTAAAGATTTTTCTTGTCAAAAAAATAGTAACAAGTGATCTACAATTAGAACAACAACTGTGAAAATGACAGTTTATAAGTTTCAGTCGAAAGATTTGTGCTCAATCCCAGAGTATTTTATTTTGAGTTTGCAAATTTTGCAAACACTCCACGTCCGGTCTTCCACATTATACAACACTGTCTGATGGTTCCCCAAAAACTACAATGTTCCCAAAACCCGTGAATTATATGACCGGGGAGGATTGACTGTAATTTCCCTTTCTACATATTTTGCAGTCTTCATGTTTTCTGTTTGTTTGTTTTGTTGTTTTTTTACGGGAAAATGATGTCAACGGAAATGAAAGTATAAATACGTGACGAATATCACATGGGGATGTTGTCATCATCACTATTTTAATCCGACAATTAGTGCTACAAAATAAAATTACAAATCCATGTTTGTAAGTTGTTTTTTCTTGAAATCGCACAGATCTCTAAATATGTTTTATTATAAACAAGTTCAACTTAAGAACACCAGCCCATTTACATGGAATTGATAAAACTTGGTTAGTACCGTTAAATGATTGATTGCGGACACGGGGAAACGAGATGACAACGATAGTATGATAATAGTCGCGCTTGTTTATTGTTTTCATTCCGAGCTATTTTTCTTTCTTCAGTCATTCAAAAATACGTTTGTTCTTATATTCCTGGAAGATATTGTTAGTGTATTGCGATACATTCCCGCTGTATCGATACATCGGGAGGTGAAATATGTATTGCAGACATATTTTCATTCCTAATTTTACCGAAATGGATAGAGGTGTAACGATTCATCGATGCATCGCGATCTGTCTTGTCCTCGATGTATGCATCGTAATGAAATTACAAATTCCAATATATTACCAATATAATACCAATTTAAAATGTCCACGTATGATTACACATTATAACTGTTTATGAATTAATGCCAACAGGTAAAAACTTTATATACTTTCAGTTTCTACAACCATAATGATAAGTATTTAAATAATATAGACTGTTTATTTTTGTTCCTATAAAAATACTTAATTAAAGTAGTTCATATGATATATATGTATTACAATAAATTTAGTCAACAACTCCTAATTGTAGCATTAAATTACCTTTCAAATGCTAACAAAAATGTAAAGTTTTGTAGTGTAGGTAAAATTGGAACATTTGAAGAAACTCCTTTAAGGGGTACAGGTTTATACAGCATACACAATTATGGAGGCAGACAGCCTGCCCAAAATGGAATAAGGGACTATTTATTTTGTTTAATAAAGGGCCATTGATTCCTTTATTCAGTATTGATACAGAATGAACTCATTTGTTATGTCTTAATCCTGTTTAAAATTAGATGGCCCCTTTTCCTACTTCAATAATGCCGACGGAAACACTGAGCAACGGGTGCAACAAAGTGATTCCTGAGCACAGCCCCATCTGGTGCCAGTATGAAAATGGAAGCTGGACAAGTTCCTTTAAAGCCATCAGCAGGTTACTAGCATGTACAAACAATTATCAAGACATTCTTCTTACCTGTAACCAAACATGTCCGGTTGTCATCTTCTAACACATATCCACTGTAACAGGAACATGAGTAACCTCCCCTGCCATTTATACACAGCTGGCTACATGAAGGGACTCCCTTTGTATCAACTTTACATGCTTTGTACTGGATGTCAGATGTTTCTGAAAATCATGTTTAAGAGTTATAATATTCAAGTTGAGCAGTTAGTGTTTCAAGTTGAACAGTTATCATTAAAAGTTGAAAAGTAATTCATACTGAAGTTGAACAGTTAAATTTGCATATAAATATTTTCTTTTATTAACAGTTCCCTGACAACGCCTGGCCTGCTAGTCATAATCAGAATTGATTGTTAAGCAGTATCGTGTAGATGTAGATGTTATCAAAATCAAGTTGAACAGTAACTGTTGTTTCAAGTTGAACAGTTGTCATAATTTATTAAGTTGAAAAAATATCAAAATCAAGATGAACAGTTACCATATTCTAGGTGAATTGGTAATTTTCTTTCGATATCATAAATACATAATTTGTTTATAAATGTATCTAACAAAATTTACAAGAAACGCCAGCTTATGTCATCTTATGAAACTTGAAAAAAAAATACCTCTTCAAAATACATAAATTATGTAATTTAACAATGCTGTACAATTTGTGATCAGATAAATTAGCAATAATAAGATCACAAGTGACCCTTGTTGAGCTCAAACCCAAATCCCATACCTACCGGTACATACCCGAGACAGTAACATACCCCAAGCCAGGACAGTAATCACAGTATATGAACAAGTCTACTCTCTGTTATCAAAAGTAAGGTACCAGTTTAAATGTATATGCTCTCAAGTAAGGGCCATCGTCAATGGTCCGGTCAGTCCGGTCTTGGCAGGATCAATATTTTGGCCAAAAAATATCTGGTCCTTAGTGGGAAAAAAACGACAAATTAACAACCAAAAAATCCAAAACAAAAACATGTGTCACTAACACTGCAATTTGACACTGAACTGGTCCCTAATATGCAAGGCGCAGTAATTAATATACAAACATGATGCTATACAACTGGATACTGTTAACTTACCAGGTACGTACATGTAGGGGTACTACGAAGTCAAATGTTATCTTAATTGGCATTATATCGACGTGGCTTCGGACAGTTTACTGTTTATATATATTAATGTATATGATTGAAAATGTAACATCACAATTCTATAAATTCTACTGCTGTTCACATACAAATTCTTTTATACAAAAGTTTAAAATATCAAGATATCATGATAATTGTGACACAGTTCCGTCGGAACCAAATCAACCAAAATTATTTTTGTTTCCAGAATGAACAACGGCGAAATGTTTTTGAAAAATTCATATAATAAAATGAGATCCTGACCAATTGATAATAAAACTTAATTAAACCATTGTGAAACACAATCTGCGTACTACTGCTCTTGTAAGTAATATTTCCAGTGATTTTTTTCCAATTTTCAAAACAACCTGTGGCTTTCTGAACGGAAAAATATAACGCTTGAAATCAGAAAAGGGAAAAATTAAATTCAAACAACTGAGATTATGAAATTTTATAAAATGTTTAATTTCAGTTTTACATGCATGGTTCATAGCAGAGGCTATCTAAAGGGACAGTTTTTTGTCTTTTGATACAAGTAAGCTGCTCTCTGCTCTCGTGAAGAATGTGCACAGGGCATTTTAGGAGGGCAAATATTAGCATTTTCAGGGGAAAATATACCTATTTTGGGCTACTGGGTAAACAGCCTTTATTCGGCTGTAAAATACAGGGAAAAAATCACTGACTTCTCATATTTGTTAATTTATAATTATCAGATAAAAATGAAGAATTATATCAACATCAATTAATGTTTATTTTTCATTTGTTAAATATTAATTATTCATATTTTATGTACAACTGTCCATCCGTTATGCCATCAGTAGTCAACCTTTTACTCTTTAAACTTACCACGAAAAATCAGTGACAATTATGCCACAATAATGTGTACTCATGGCAGACTGTAGACTGTGCCAAATACACAGGAAAACTCTCTTGAGAGCATCCTAGAATACAAGAATTTCACGGGGAGCATGCCCTCGTAGAACCACCAAATTGGACGCATGAATCACAAAATCACAAAATCGTGAAGACAGGCCTGCAAGTAAAGTACAGTGGTCAGAAGTAACATGTGCTTTAACTCGCAAGGCATGGTACACATTGAATTATATAGGCTCACAAGACAGGGTACAGTGATTTTGTTTAAATGTGATTATTCTCAACAAAATCCTGAGCAGAATTTCAGTTTCGCTAATCTTGGGAGTTCAACCATTGGCACCAGAGTCCTTAAATAATCATTAAATAAATGAAATTATACCCATCAGGTCTAGGATTTCATGATATTTATGAAAAGTCCAAGAACATGACTTTTTAAAATGAATTCCAATTGAATTTTGAGTAATATATGATCAGATATATTCATTTGAATGCGGCATCATGTAAATTATGGCAGTTCTAATCTGTGTAAACAATTTTTAGCAAAAACATGTAACCCCTGTGGGTGATTGTGGTCAACAATTGTTATGCAATTAAAAATACAGCATACAATACAGAAATTTAAGGTGCTGGCGCATTAGAAGAGATACCCAGGATGCAAAATAATCCAGATTTGAGGAAAAAGGCAAATGCAAAAGATGTGTTTATGGACTTAAAAAAATTGGCCCATATAAAAATGAAACTAGAAATGTGTCCATAGGGCACGGGTGCCCCCACCGTGCCACTGTTCTGTCAATCTTTTTACTAAGTCAAGGGAAATAACTCTATAAATATTTGATAAATCCACAAACGAAACCCCAGGTGCAAATTTAAAATATGCTGAGCAACATGCCCATAAGGTTTAATGACTATGTCAAATCCAAGTTGAAAATTGCAAAATTTTCTTAGTGAAGGGCAATAACTTTAAAAATACTAAATAAATTCAGACGAAAATACCTGGTGCACAACTGCACATGCTGATCAATATTCCTGTAAAGTTACATGACTCTAGGTCAAATACTTTTTGAGTTACGTGCGACACATGTTGAAAATTGCCAAATTTTACTAAGTCAAGGGCAATAACTCTGAAAATACTAAAAATATCCACACGAAAATACCCAGGTGCACAACTACACATGCTGATCAACATTCCTGTAAAGTTTCATGACTCTAGGTCAAATTCTTTTTGAGTTACGTGCGACACAAGTTGAAAATTGCAAAATTTTACTAAGTCAAGGGCAATAACTCTGAAAATACTAAAAATATCCACACGAAAATACCCAGGTGCACAACTACACATGCTGATCAACATTCCTGTAAAGTTTCATGACTCTAGGTCAAATACTTTTTGAGTTACATGCGACACAAGTTGAAAATTGCAAAATTTTACTAAGTCAAGGGCAATAACTCTGAAAATACTAAAAATATCCAGACGAAAATACCCAGGTGCACAACTACACATGCTGATCAACATTCCTGTAAAGTTTCATGACTCTAGGTCAAATACTTTTTGAGTTACATGCAACACAAGTTGAAAATTGCAAATTTTACTAAGTCAAGGGCAATAACTTTGAAAATACTAATAATATCCAGACGAAAATACCCAGGTGCACAACTACACACGCTGATCAACATTCCTGTAAAGTTTCATGACTCTAGGTCAAATTCTTTTTGAGTTACGTGCGACACAAGTTGAAAATTGCAAAATTTTAATAAGTCAAGGGCAATAACTTTGAAAATACTAATAATATCCAGACGAAAATACCCAGGTGCACAACTACACACGCTGATCAACATTCCTGTAAAGTTTCATGACTCTAGGTCAAATTCTTTTTGAGTTACGTGCGACACAAGTTGAAAATTGCAAAATTTTAATAAGTCAAGGGCAATAACTCTGAAAATACTAAAAATATCCAGACGAAAATACCCAGGTGCACAACTACACATGCTGATCAACATTCCTGTAAAGTTTCATGACTCTAGGTCAAATACTTTTTGAGTTACATGCAACACAAGTTGAAAATTGCAAATTTTACTAAGTCAAGGGCAATAACTTTGAAAATACTAATAATATCCAGACGAAAATACCCAGGTGCACAACTACACATGCTGATTAACATTCCTGTAAAGTTTCATGACTCTAGGTCAAATACTTTTTGAGTTACATGCGACACAAGTTGAAAATTGCAAAATTTTACTAAATCAAGGGCAATAACTCTGAAAATACTAAAAATATCCACACGAAAATACCCAGGTGCACAACGACATATGCTGATCAACATTCCTGTAAAGTTTCATGACTCTAGATCAAATACTTTTTGAGTTACGTGCGACACAAAAGTGAACGGACGGACAGACGGAAGGACGGACGGACAAGGGTAAATCTAAATGCCCGCCACTAACGTGGGGGCACAAAAAAGTGATGTGAAATCCGTATTACTCATAATAAAAAATGTTACCTTTGTTTAATTCTATCTAATTATAATGCCTAAGATATATCACAAGTTTAAAAGCAATATCTTTGACTGTTTTTGAGAAATTACATTTTTTCATTTTAAGCCCTATCTGGCAATTTCACCAGCCTGTTTTAATACAACTTCTACTATTTTCGCATTTATAATGTCTATAAATTTACAGATAGAAAAATCTGTAAAATTATAGATGGTCCATAAATTTACAGACTGTCCGTAAATATCATGAAATCCTAGACCTGCCCATATATCACAAACTACCCGAAATATTATCAAAAAAATATCAGACACACCCTCGTATATACTGTCATAATTTCAGGCTATATCTTAGAATCGCTAGATTGTAGTCGTGTATTGTTTGTATTGTTATGTTTTATTCAGTGTTAATGCGACAAGATCCGTCTTCTCTGCTTATCAAAATAATATGTCACTTACCTGAACACAAAGTCTGCAAAATGAGAGCATAAAATATAAGTGAACGTGTATATTTCATGCTGTGCTGTCCCTGTCGTCTGCACGTATGTGTAGAACAATTCAATCACGGAAACGCATGCTTTTCTCGTGCTGGTCGAGGCATACACGATTAGTAGAAATAATATTGAAACTTGATACATGTTGGAAACTAAACTTGGAATTGCCAGCCATTAATCGAATAAAAGTAACGAGTTTTGTATTATTTTATTACACGTATAACATTAAAAAAATCCGTGATATGTCTCTGAAAGTCTTATCAGAGTAATTCTGGTTTATTTGTTCGTTCTGTGGTTTGTCCATTTAGTCAGTTAATAAGTCAGTTAGCAAGACGACTGGCCGGCCGGTCTGTCAGCTAGTCAGTTAGTTTAGCAAGGCTTTCTTCTGATAAAACTTCAAAAAATCTAGACAAAAAAGAAAGTATGAAATGATAAAGAGTATAAATCATTGATGATGGAGCGTGCTTTACTACTTTATCTTGTGTCGGGCACTGTTCAGGGTCCGTACATTAAACAACCACCTTCCGCCTGATGCCTTTAAATGGCAAATTAAGTTAAGGACAGAAATATTAAAATTATTCTATGTATTCAAATCACGCTAAAATTACATTTTTTAAAGTCCTAGCATGAACTACTGTATATTTTCTACATATTTTGGGTTTGAAGCGTGAATGTATCTATATATGCTGAACGAAATTTAGGCGCCGATAGAATCACAGAGTGGTTTTAAAACAAGTCCCCTAAGTTACAATAACAGATATTGTGAATATTGTATGATTGAAGCAAGTGTAAGTCATTTATTCTTTATAAGGAGAAAAGTTTTGTTCCTGTGACAGTCTAGTGTTTCAACTTTGAGGACATTTACAGAATAGTGAATGAAAAATTCAAACCTAAGATATCAAAAATTTGCCCCGTGTCTCCCTTTGTTAAAGCTCAACTCAATGTTCCATGAATGTTAAGTCATATTTCGTGAGAACTTTATATTTTGAGCCAGTTTTGTCACTGTCCATTCAAACGCATATAACTTTTGTTTTGATCCACATGGACCATGACGGAAAGAATTTCTCAAGGATGACTGCATGAAAACCCCATACAAAATGAAGTAAAGTGATAATAGAGAAAAGTCAGGAAGTGTAATGCGATTAAAATGAAATGAGCCACGTCACGACAAAACCAACATAATGGTTTGCGACCAGCATGGATCCAGACCAGCCTGCGCATCCGCGCAGTCTGATCAGGATCCATGATGTTCGCTTACAAACCCTATAACAAGTAGAGACACTGATAGCGAACAGTATGGATCCTGATCAGACTGCGCGGATGCGCAAGCTGGTCTGGATCCATGCTGGTCGCAAACCCATTATGTTGGTTTTGTCGTGACGCGGCTCAAATACATATATAGGATTCCTTGGAAGGACTCGCCCCATGTGTGTTCTTAGACTAACACAAGATATTGTTGGTTGTGAATCTGATTTGAAGGGATTTTTTATCTCCACATTTATACGTTTGAAAATACATTTTAGCTTGTCTGGATCCATGCTGGTCGCAAACACATTATGTTGGTTTTGTCGTGACGCGGCTCATTTAAACGTTGGGATGAATATTTGGGAGTTTGTGTGTTTTTGTTAGATATTTTGAAGTTTTTGTTAAGTAAAAAGAATTTGATGTTAACGTCAATCTAACACGTTATACTTATTGAGTACATACATGTATTTATCACACACCCTTGCCGATTTTGCGACTCCGTAAATATGGTATTGCACGGCCGTGCATATATTTTGACGTGACGTCATTAGCGTTATACAAACATAGTGTAAAGACGCGCTAAATGTTGGCGTTAAACTATAGGCGCGTCAATGAAAAATGACTCTTATTTCACTTTAAACGGTCTTTATTTTGGGTATGTGATAAAAAGAATATTAAATTCGTGTAAGGTCTTTACTGAATTTATTGCACTCGTTCAATAAAATAATATTATGCTCGCCAGGGGCTCGCATAATATCATTTTATTCAACTCGTGCAATAAACTCAGTATTGAACTTACACTCATTCAATATCCTCTATTTACTATATTTAGTTTAGCGAAAGTACATATTTGAACGTTTGCCATATACATGTACATGTGACATTCGTTAAGACATTTGGACGTTTGGTTTTAAAATTTAGACATGCTTGTAAGTATTTGAGCATGTGTTTACAATAAGTGTTTTAAAAATACATGGCAGTGTCGCTGGCTTCAGGGATGTAACCCCCCCCCCCCTGCCTTGCCCAACCCATGTTTGTGTTTGTGTCAATTTCATAATGGACGTATTGTTAAACAACTATTTATACTAATATACCTAAATTATAAACATCATAACGTTGATGACTAAGTGTAATGACCTTATTGTCTTTCCGGGACTACTTAACAGATCGGTCAGAAGACTTACTAACCGGAAGTAATAATTAGAACGCACGTATACTTCTATGGAACGCCAAATGCAAATGATTTTATTTTTCTTTCTTCAGTACATATCACATCATATTCACTAGCAAAAAAAGTCCATATATGTATAATATTTACTGTTATTTCTTCTTATAACATATTTTCAAAGTATTTTTTTCTTGCTTTTTGTGCAGTTTAAGTGATTAGGTAGTCCACACAAAGCTACTTACTTCCGATGATAAGCATCCTTTAAATAAATCCATGATTGAAATATAACGAAACACATATTTGCCCATCCTAAAGAAGAAAAATAAACTTATTATTTATTGCAAAATGTGTTTTATACACGTATTATATGTACATTAATGTATCTAACACTAAGACTGTTAAACTGGTAAAAAATGTCTCTTATAAATAAATCAAGTGCATTAAATCTCATAAGCTAATTTCGTTTCTTTAAAGGGGAATCACAAATATTTGATTTAAAAAAAAAACCAACCCTGCACGTTTTTGGCCTCGTTTTGAGAGAAGACAATTATAACTCCTAATGGCATACTTTGCGTTCCATACTTTTCATTCATTTTACCAAATGTGGTATTAGTAATATCCAGTGTTCAATGGTGTAACAAAGAGCATCTTTACTTAAACAAAATGGTATATCTCTTAATATGGATATGTGTAATAGGTAATAAGTTTGTTTTTTTTACGAAAATCAGTTGGGTTTTTTTTTTTTGGTCCGTCAATGGACAATATTTCCGATTTTCAAGATAATTCTAACAGTTTCTGAACCTCTCTATAGTGCATAGTTAAAGCTTCGTTAGTACATATCATAGCTTAAACCAAATGAAGCACAAATTTCCATTTCTAAAAATCCTTTAGATACATGTATATAGAAACATATGCACACGTGTATAATCTATGACAATTAATGTGTTCGTTATAAAAATAAAAGGAAATATTATTTATTTGTATCCATGTGTAAAAGAGAATATTGTTTTGGTTTCTATGAACCGACAGCATTGAAAAGACTATGGATACTTTCTTTTAGGTCATTGTACGCGTGTAAGTGTGCGAGTGTGCGCGCACAAGCACCGTCTTTGAACAGGTACACTAATTACCAACAATTGAATGTGTGTGTGTGTGTGTGTCCACCAATGTGTGTACATCTTTTACATTCTTTTAGATAAGTTCTATTTGTTAACGTGCTCATTATAAATGAGTTCGCCAAATATATTTTACATTAAGAGTATACCCCAATGTTATCAAGCGGTTCATTCTGATATCGTTTGCATGTAAACTATCACTTAAAGGCCCATTGTGCCTAAGAAATGCCACTCATTTCATTTTTCAAAACTTTTTTTTTGGTTTCTTGTTACAGATATTACTCACTTGCCTTACATATTGATTACTAGTATTTTTTGCAACTATATTTTTGTTGGCAATTTATTTTATTATAGTGAATCAGTTGTTTGTATGGAAGTCAAAACTTTACATTGTTTACATTTTGCTACCTTTATGATACATTACTGCACGTTCAGCGCTACTTTCTTCAGTTATTGAACATCAAACATGTTCTATATCCATTATACAAACACTATTTAACACATGTTTGACATTTCTAAAGAATTAAAAGAAATATTGATTTCTGAGGCGTAGTGTGCCGTTAAACTATGTGAACTTATTTTTTCAAAGTTCCCGTATGTCCAAGTTGGTGTCTAAAGAGTTACTTACTGGCCAGTTACCAGAACCATATTTTGCTTCTTTTGCTGTTTGGCAATACGTACAATTATTTTGATTTTTTATTTTGTATAGAAGCAAAATACTAAATTGTTTACATTTTGCTACTATATAAGAAATAATTTCACAATCAACAGGTAATAAAATCAGCTGGCATGCTTTAATACCATTATTTAGATGTTACATAACGCCATTTCGCCCTTTTTAAAGAGGGAAACAATTATTTTGTTTCTGATGCATAATGTATGTAACTTTTCCTGGCTTGTTTTTCTATTATGAAATAAAAGAACTATATAATTATATATTCCAGGTATTTATATACAAACACCGGAATGCTGCGAGGATAAATGGGTTGCGTACGACAGACTTGGAGTATGCTACAGACTATATACAACGCCAAGATTAGAATGGGTAGACGCTAAAGACTTTTGCTCAAAACAAGACGCGGAACTTACAGATTTATATGACTACACAGAGCAAATGTTTGTAAAAGGTAAACTCCTTAAAGGGACTTCCCTGAGTTTTTGTTTTACATGACGAGACTGGAATTAAATTTTTCAAAATCAATGCTCCATTTGATGGAGGTCTAGACCAGTAGCTTGTGTAAATTAGTTTAAGATCATTCGTTAACTCTTGTGAAAAAAATGTCCCAAAACTGAACAGCTTTAATCGGAATACGAAAAGCACAAAAATGCGATTTCCGATCTATTTTTAAGTATATTTGTTACTTTGTTTTGTATATCTTTTTGTTTTATATGCCCCAGTTAATCTATGTAGGAATTCAAAATTTATGTTTTTTAGGCTTCAAGACCTAAGTTGAGTTGCTTTAACATAATTATAACGCCATAAATTCGCTCATATATCATATATATTTGAATATTACCTGTAATGGTATGTCTTATTATTGTTATTGTCGTCGTCGTCGTCGTTGTTGTTGTTGATGTTTTTGTTGTTGTTGTTGTTGTTGTAAAAACCAAAGCGTTGACCAAGGACTATTGCGTCTCCTTCTTGTCCAATGTCAAATATGAACACACAATGTCAAATATTTAGCACAATGTCAAATGTGTACTAGCAATTACATTAAATGTCAAATAGTTAATAGCAATCACATTAAATGTCAAATATTTACTAGCAATTACATTAAATGTCAACTACTTACTAGCAATTACATTAAAGGTCAAATATCTACTAGCAGTTACATTAAATGTCAAAAATTTACTAGCATTTACATTAAATGTCAAATACTTACTGGCATTTACATTAAATGTCAAATATTTTACTAGCAATAACATTAAATGTCAAATATTTACTAGCAATTATATTAAAGTTCAAATATTTACTGGCAATTACATTAAATGTCAAATATTTTGCTAGCAATTACATTAAATGTCAAATATTTACCAGCAATTACATTAAATGTCAAATATTTACTAGCAATTTCATTAAATGTCAAATACCTACTAGCAATTACATTAAATGTCAAATATTTTGACAGATAACTTGGTAAGAAGAATCAGAGCACATGGTGTCTGGATAGGAATATCTGATGATGGAGATGAAGGTGACTGGAGATGGGTAAATAATTCACGAGCAAACATAGACAGATTCGAGTGGTGGCCAGGTAAGATACCGGATTTTTCCGTCAAACTTCGGAAGTATTTCCGTCAAGCTACGGAGACTTTACATCAAACTTCGTAAACTCGATTATCTTTCCGTCAAACTTCGGAGATATTTCCGTCTAATTTCGGAAAATGATACGAGGCGTCCGTAAAAAACCCGATAAGTAACGATAACATATACGTGATGTGATTATTCATTTCCGCCACCGGTTGTCCATATGGGCGAGTCCTCCAGAAGTGTAATACATGTAGTCATTCTATAGATTTTGCACGATATAAAAGAGAATTCCAGAAGCGTCTCCTGGCTCTTAGCGTGCCAACGGTTTAAGCACTCATACACGGGACCTCGATTTAAAGTCTCATCCGAAAGACTGGTCAGTAATTTTAAAATTTAGTTGGCCAGCCCGAAAAGCGTGACACAAAGGCAAAATTACAAGTTACGCGCTCTATATTAATTTAACTGAACGTACAGTAGAAAATCTTTGTATATTTTACAGTCCAAAATGTTTATATTGCGAATGTTTGGCCCGGAAAAATATATGATTTTGCAAGGATAGGACAATGAATTATCGTAAGTAAATTTTCAAAAGGCCGGATTCCCATTGGCCAATTATAAAAATAGGGCTTGGGAACGAAAAAATACAAAATGAGCCGCGTTTATGACAAAACCAAAATAATTTTGGGTTTTCGAAAAAGCATGGGTTTCCCAACCCCGCCTGGGGCCCTTTTCCCCCGCAGTCGATCAGGATCCATGCCCGCTCGCTATCATTTCTCTTTCCCGCTATAGGGTTTGTAAGCAACAAACATGGATCCTATCAACCCGCGGATGCGAAAAGGGTTTTTCTGGAAACCCCCTTGTTTACCCAAACCCAAATTTTGTTTGGGTTTTTCGTTTTCGCGGGTCCCAAAAAAAATGATACATAAGATCTATAATGTATTAAAAGCGTCCATTTTTACCAATTTTTTTTATATAAGGGGGTGCTTTATACATTTTTAAAGGGGGTGATGTTTATTAATAACCAATTTGAATGGGCACAAATTTTTAAGGTGGGAAGGGTTTTTTTTCTTTATTTAAAACCCAAATTTGGGAACGTTTTTTCTCCAGGAAACCCAGACAATGCCAATGTTGAAGATGGGTTCTTTGATTCATTCTTTGGGGAAGACTGTGTAGAGATTAGTCTTAAATCAAAATATCGTGGCCAATTAAATGATTATAGTTGCGACGAAAGAATGCCATTTATATGCAAGAAGAAAGGTAAGCCTGGAAAGTTAAGTATAAGGCAGACTAGTAGGTCGTATCTACTTCCTGTATGTTTGTTTGTTTCATTTTACGCCTTTTCCCAACAGTATTTCAGTCATATAAGCGGGTAGTTTCCTAACCATCGTTCCTGGAGAGTTACACCAGTACTAGACTACCTTTCTCCGTGCTAAACTACCAAAGCATCTCCCGGGGATCGAACCCATAAACTTTCTACAATGATAAAGTGATTTAGTTTTTACTCTGTGTAGATGGCAATGAGCAAAAGAAAAGGCTGAAATGAGGGGGTAGGACGACCTAGCCAAGCATATTAATTAAAGCGGCTGTGTTCCCCTCTAAATGGCATCTTCCAGCTATTTATTTTACTATTTATTTATTGCTTGAAGTACAATACACACATCAATTCAAATATACAGAAAAAAGGGATATCATGACTAAAGCATTTGGATCGGGAAACTCGCAAGCTTAGTCCTTGGAACACGCGCGGTTACCGGTTTAAGACTATAACTATAAAGGCTCAGGCCTTCTCATTAAAGATATACCAGAAACTTATGTCTCTATATGCTTATGTTACGAAACAAAAACGTTTGTTAAGATTTTAATATTACTGAATGTCATCTCTAGCGAATTTGACAGTAAATTTTAGCTGGAATGAATTGAAATAAAGAATAAATGTATGTAAAAGAATGCATTTTTGTGTATTAAATCTTCTATTTTTGTCCAGATATGTCCACCACAACCACTACCACAACAACAACTCTAGCAACTACTTTAGCCACAGAATCTGATACGTTGAGACAAAATGAGAATAAATCTACAGTGCCAGTTGTTTCAACATTAACTGTGTTGTGTGTGATAGCCCTGCTCGTTGTCGGTTCTTTCATCTATCTAAGGTATTGCTAGAACTACAGTATTTGAGGGGATTTCTGTGTGCATGAACACGTGTTACTTCTTGAAAACAAAGGTCAAGTAATAAACGGTTAATTTATCATTTAGTGTTGAACGTATTTTCTTATCTTTAGCTACAAAAAAAGTTTACATTTTTTATAACTTACATAACCATGAATAATAAGCACATCAAATTTCCTAGCAGATATATCATAATTTGTAGTATTTAAGATATAACCCGTCTTGCTTTATATTAAGCCCATGTGATAAAATGAAGAAAAAGACCGTTTGACAGTTGTATTAAAACACGTTTTCTGTTCGTCTGTCCGTCTTAATATTTGAAAATTTCTGTACCATATTTAGCTTGCGTCGGGTTAATGCGAGAAATGTAAAAATATATACATGTAGTTTTTATGATTACATATATTGATCAGGTATTTTAAAATTTGTTTTGTTTGCCCAACTTCATAGTTAAATTTTGTTAATTTTCTTTGATACGCAGACGATACCGGAAGCGGAAGTCAAGTCTCCTGACAATTACGAAGACGCCAATTACGTCATCAGCAAATGAAAACATTTACACGCTGCCTGGACACAAATAGCCAAATCAGCATTGAAATAACAACATCGCATCATGTGACCAGAATAGCATTCATGAATATCATAGTGTACTTTTTTTCTGCACAAGGTTCACTTTATGAGTCAGTCAATTGCAACAAATTGAATACAGATTATCAGACACCACCGCCACCAAGAAAATATTGAAACTCTATTCTTTAATGTAAGATACTTGTAATACAAAATGTACAAGTTTTATCGTTTATGTAAGTAAGACCGGTAGGGCCATTTAAATTTCATGAATTCCCGATTTCATCTTCATGAATTCACAATTTAAACTTCGTGAATTCCCGTTTTCAAAATACGGAATTCACGAATTCACGATTCAGCTTCAATGAATTCACGACACTAAGTTCACGAATTCACGATTTGAATTTGGTATCGTGAATTCGTGAAGATGAAATCGTGAATTCATGAAGTTGAAAATCGTGAATTCTTGAAGTAAAAAATCGAGAATTCATGGAACTGATATCGGGAATTCATGAAGTTGAAATGCCCCAAGCGGTCCTTCGTACGTATGACTTTCAATTGCGGCTACAACAGCAAAAACAACGAATACAACTGTTATGTCTTGTGAATGTGACAAAAGTAGACGACTTCCAAAACTCTACGAGTAAGAGTCAGACGTCGTCGACTTTAAATAAAGACTACGTACGCTGAGAGAAATGTAAACGACTATTTCGACTTAAATTACGAGTACAAACCATCATCAATGACTTGAGATCACTTTGATTTACAATTTTGTTAAGGATTTTAGTCAATTTTAGTCTGTTTGTTTAAAGTCCCTGAGACTTGAACAACTTAAACCTAGTTGAATTTAACTGTTAAGGTCAAGGTCACTAATGGCAATTACTTGACGCTTTAGTGTACAGTCCAAAGATTTGGTGTGAAGGTTTGACCGGCAAGTTAATGGTCCCTGTTGATTTAAAGGTCAGTCTGTCTGCTTCATTGATAAAACATTGTCTTAACTATAAAATGCCTTTAACAGCTTTTCATTTTGATTCATTTTTCACATTTAGGGAAGAAATCACTCTGGAAAAACAGAGTGGTTCCAATGCTCTGAAATTTTGCACTCAGAGTATTGGTCTAGACCTTTATCAAATGGAACATAAATCTCAAAAAAAAAATATTTCCAGTCATGTCAAAAATTGTCTGTGGAGTCCTTTAAAAGCTTATTGTATCACAAAAAAAGGGACAAGCTGAAAAGAAAGAAAACTTATGTAAGGGGAGTATTTCCTGTTGATTGAAAATAAAATATTTCCTGTTGATTGAAAATAAAATGTAGAAATGTAGAAATTCTTGATTTATGGATGTGTTTTCAGAAGAGTTTGAGTTTCAAATATTGTTTTATATGACCAATAATATTCTGTATCAAATATTGTATGTTACAGTACAATATAAACACTATTGTTTTATATCTTGTGTTTGTAGTTGTGTTTCAAATCCCATCTATCTTGTCATGACATATTTAGCTCACCTGCGCACTGCATGAATCTCAGGTGAGCGATTCAAGGTCACAATGGTCCTCTTGTTAGTTGAAGCTTCCAATTATGGTTATAAAAGCTTGGTGCTGTTTTAAACCATTCTCTTAATGTCTGTTTCTTGGAGCTAAACAAAACTGGTATCATTATTATAAGGAAACATTAGTAGAAATAATATTAATAATATTTGAGCTACTGAGCAAAACAGTCATGTGCACTAAGTAATTTTATGACAGGAATCAATTTTAAAATATATCTGTATCGAATGAAATTATTGATTCTGATATTGGTATTTTTATGACGCCTGCACAGAGTAATGGCGACATAAAGAGATCACTTCTCCGTTGTCTGTCCGTCCGTCAGAAATTTATCCCGACTACTCCTGCAAGACTACTGGTGCAATTTCATCCAAATTGAAGAGGATCTGTTCCTAGCCTAGTTGTGCATATCATCGACATTTTCCGGTTTAATGATTTTGTCAGAGTTATGACCCTTTAATGATTTTTCTAATTTGACCGGGCTACTCCTCTAATACCACTAATGCAAAGTTCAAAGATTGATCAGTGGTTCAAGTACTTGCGCATGTTAGACAGGGTTTGCAGGTGAATAATTTTTGGCTGGGTTATGGCCCTTGAAAAAAACGCGTTTTGTCCATTAATGATTTTTGTGTCTCCTGCAACACAGTAGCTGTAACATGCAAATGGATATCACAAGGCCATGTGATTACTAATCGCTCTTGTGCAAGCAGGGGCAAATTATATTATTACGAAATGCTTCATTGATAAAGCTTATATGGCGGCAAAAAGGTGAGCTTTTGCGTAACGGATTGTTTGTTGTCATTGTCTACAATTTCTAAAAGTATCTAGTTAATATCTCCCTTATTATATCTACATAACCATAACATTGTTTGTGACGCTTAGAACTACAGAGTAGTGGTGACATATAGAGATCATTTCTCAGTCGCCTGTCTGTCCGTTCATCACGTAACTTCTCCGGACTACTCCTAAAAAGTGATGCAAGTTCATCCAAGCTTTAGGGAAATGATCAGTACCAAGTCTAGTCGTGTATATCGTCGGTATTTTCTGATTCAATGATTTTTGTTTTGTTCTGACCCTTTAATAATATTCATTTTTAAAGTTTGCCGGGAGTATTTCTCTAATACTACCATTAAAATTTCTGTGAAATTTTACAGGATTGATTGGAAGCTCAAGTACTTTCGCACAATACACGAGTTTCCCCGTTGAATGATTTTTGGCCAAGTGATGGCCCTTTAATGAAAAATGTGTTTTTTGTGTTGCCAGCTACACAGAATGTTGTTCGCACTACTTCTCACGAACTACTAGTGCAGTTTTTATTTAAACTTTACAGGAATAATTAGTACTAAGTCTAGTTGTGTATGTTAGCGGCTTTTGTGGTTCAATATTTTTTGTCGGAGTGATGGCCCTTTAATTATTTTTATTTTTAAAATTTGTCCGGGCTACTCCTCTTTTACCACTAATGCAATTTCAATGAAACTTTACAGGATTGATTGGTAAGCCAAGTTCTTGCGCATATTACCCGGGTTTTTTTGCTTGAATGATTTTTGGCCGAGTTGTGGCCCTTAAATAAAAAAAGTGTTAATAAAATTTGCCCGGACTACTCCTCTTTTACCACATGCAATTTCATTTACAATTTAAAGGATTGATTGGTAGGTAAAGTTCTTCTGCACAATACACAAGGTTTGTGCTTGAATGATTTTGACCGAGTTATGGCCCTTGAATAGAAAAGGTATTTTTTGTGTTGTCTGCTACACAGAAGCTTGTTCTCAGAAACTACTGGTGCTATTTCATCAAAACTGTACAGGAATGATCAATATCAGGTCTACTTTTGCATTATATTGACATTTTCGGTTCATTGATTTTAATCGGAGTAATTGCTCTTTAATGATTTTAATTTTTATTATTTGTCCAGGCCACACTTGTTATACCGTTAATGCAATTTCAATGAAACCACAGGATTAATCCGTAGCTATGTTCTTGTGCATATTACCCAGGTTTTTAGGTTAAATTTTTTTCATGGCTATTATAAGGCGACACATGTGATCACTAATCGCTATTGTCTTGAACTAATGAAGTACTAGCAAGTATATTATTTCAGCTCAGTTGCTTAGAAAGTTGTAAAATAAATAAAATAATTCATGAGGTAACCCGGTACTGATGTAATAAAATATTAATTTCTGCAAGTAAAGCTCAAACCC